GACGGTGGTGCGCTAGTATTGGCGGTGGGCCGGACTCGCCGAACGGATACTCGCTCATTCGGCGATATTCAAAAATTATATCTCGTTAAATATTGCGAATTTTTGCAAAATGGTAGAGGACTTTTCGATTCAGTTTAGTCCATTCTATCTACCCATGAGCGGTGATACACCTATTAAGAGACACCATGTATATTTTTGATAAAATTAATTATTCATAATCATTCTAAACTTAAATTTTTAATTTTCGTAAAATATATTTATGAAAAATTATTTTTTAATGATGTTACATTTCATATATCTCCTAATTTATATACATGTGTAGTTCTATAAAATATAAACAACTCACATTACGCAACATTCTAAAAAGTTTAATCATTATAAGAAAATTTAAATAATATAGTATACTACAGATATACAATTCACGAATATTCGTCGTTAATTATAATAAGATTTTTTCGTAAATTTAAAAATTTAATTTTAGATTATTAAACTTATTTATGTTAAAATATATATCCTAAAAATTGCTATTTCATAAAAAATTTTAGGTTGTTCATCAAATCAAAACTTATTTATGTTATAATTTTTGGGAATATAAATATATTTATTATATAAATTCTAAAAATTGCAAATTAATAGCTGTTCTAAATCTCTTTGTATCTTTAATTAAAAAATTAAATATAATATTATATATATGTAAAGAAAATATATTTTCTTCAACCATTCCCGCGCTCTCCCCGAGCGTCGGTGTAGTAGACCGCAACATGCACGGCTTATCATACGAGAAGAACGGAAAGGCGAAAGATGCGGATTAACACACGTGGAGTATCGTTAAAGTGAAGTTAACCTGTTCCGGATTCCGCGTTCGCAAACATCATCCGCGTTTTGTACGTTGCCCGTGGTGAGCACATCTGGAGCGATGACGTCACGCGTGTACCGCGTGACCTCCCCGTGTGAGCCTCGCGCTCACGGACGCGCCGGATGTCACGCCACCTCCATGCGTTGTTTGTTCAAAACCCAAAAATCCTTGCGCATCACATTTTTTTCGCGCGCGATCGGAGAGTTCGCCACCAGATCCCGATGCGTACGGATCTATCGATTTTGCCTACCGCTTTCGTTTTGCGAACTCCACGATCTCGCTACTCGGTTATAGTTTAACCGAACCTGCGTTTATGTAACGCCTTTCAATTTTGAGCGGCGTCTCGAAGATTTCCGTCTCGTAAACGCTCATATCACCGAGAACTCTGCGGTCTCTGCATTGTCGCTTATAAGAGTTTTAGATACTCCAAGCGGCTTGTAATTCCGCGTGTGAAAACTACAAGTTCCAGCTATACCGCTCACCTCGTCTAACGATATTGTGCAGTCAACTAATAAACGTTTGAACCAACGTAATTGCTGAATTCGTTTATTGGAGAGTCACCCGCCTTGGAGAGCGAACCTTCCAATTTAAGGTGGTACCAGCCTACCCATTCCAAAAACATTGGTCCTTCGAGCCGGATCGCTGCCAAGGACAAGTTCCGTGTTTTCCGACTCTCAATCGTTAACCGATCAGCACATTTGCTGCGTTCACCATGTCTGTCACCCTTGAGGATCTTATGGTGCTGCAGAATCAGACGATGAATTCCGTGTCGCGCGCATTGTCGAATTTCAAGAAGCTCGGCCAGGCAAAAATGACACGGGCTGTAACGCGACAACGCCTCGCGACCCTGAAGGAGAACTTCGCCAAATGCCGGACCTTGGATGGACAAATCACGCGTCTCTCCGACGAGAAATTGAGAGCAACGCACTCGTACTTCACCGGTGCTTGTTTCGAGACATGTGAGGACTGCTACAATGAGGCCGCCGACTTCATGGTTGAGGTACTCGCCAGTTACGAAACCGACCCTACACCTACAATAACTGTAAGTGACCCGCATGACTTTTCTCGACCATCGCCGCATCTGCCGAAGCTCAACCTCCCGACTTTCGACGGCAGCATCGATAAATGGGAGACCTTCCGCGATCGCTTCCAATCAATGATTCAGAACGATCCGAATCTATCCAATGTAAATCGTATGCATTATCTGTTTTCGTGTCTAAAAGGAGCTGCAAGTAAAGCGCTTGACCATCTCGCAATCACTAACGCTAACTTCGAGGTCGCGTGGAATATTCTCGTGTCCCGTTACGACAACAAGCGTCGCCTTGTGACTACTCACTTGATCTCGCTACTAGATTTACCTACAGTTACCTCAGAGACCTCCAAAGATCTTTGCAACCTGCGTGATCAAGCTAACACCGCGATACAAGCCCTCACTAACCTCGGTCGTGCCGTCAGACATTGGGATGACTTTCTTGTTTTGCTTGTAGCTCGAAAGCTGGACAAAACCTCACGTAAAGCCTGGGAACTCAAGCTAGGCGATACCTTAGAATATCCAAGTTATCATGAACTTGACCAATTTCTCGAGACTCGCATTCGCGCGTTAGATGCAATAACACCAACGAGTTTGAAAGACACATTACCGGAATTGTCCAAAAGGAAAGCTATTGCATCACATAACGCGGCCGCCGTTCCGTTTTCGTGTTCGCTTTGTAAATCAAATCATCTATTGTATCAATGCTCCATGTTCCTAAAGAAAACGCCATCCCAACGTTTCGACTTCATTAAATCGCAAAAGCGTTGCATCAATTGTTTTAGCATAAAACATTCTGTCAAGGACTGTACCAGTTCGCGTGCGTGCCGACAATGCAGTAAGCGCCATCATACGTTGTTGCATCTCGATAATTCCATCGATTCTGCAAAAACGAGCGAGTCCGAGCCAGCGTCGGCTTCGACATCAGTCACCGCTGACACCGAAGTGGCGTCACACTTAATGTCTCGTACCGTGGCGCCAAACTCCAAAATTTTGCTTGCAACTGCCCGCGTTCGCGTGTATTCCCCCCTCGGACGTTTCGTTACCGTGCGTGCCCTTATCGATCAAGGTTCCGTTTCAACCTTGATGACCGAATCGCTGGCTCAGAGCCTTCGGTTGCCAAAAGTTAAACGTGCCGTCTGTATTACTGGCATCGGCGAAACCCAATCCATTGTTCGCAGCGCTGCTCAGATTACGATTACCCCCGTTTCGCGCGAGGGACCTGCCTATTCAACTACCGCGCTCATACTTCGATCGTTAACGAAATATATACCAAGTCGAATGAACACCGCATGCACTTGGAAGCATGTCGCTGGACTCAAGTTAGCCGATAGCGAACCCATGAGTTCCGACCCAATAGATCTCATTATCGGCGCTGATTTATTCGGCCTGCTCGTTCTCGATGGTGTTCGAAAGGGTTCCGAACGCGAACCTACCGCGCAAAACACCACCCTCGGGTGGATCCTTTCCGGTCCAATCACCGCACCCTCGGTAAGCGACTCGACATTCGTACACGCGCACCACGGAGTCGTTCTCGAAGGGCTTGACTTCGATCTCCGTCGGTTCTGGGAGACCGAAGAGCTTCCTCAAAAGGTGCACCGAAGCCCTGAGGAAGACCGATGTGAAGAGCATTTTGTAGCTACTCACACTCGTTCGTCCAATGGACGTTATATAGTGAGACTTCCGTTTAAAAACGGACCGCCTATTTCGTTGGGTGAGTCGCGATTCACCGCCTTATCGAGTCTCTATCGCATGGAGCAACGTCTTCGTCGCGAACCAGCCAACGCTACCGAGTATCGCGATTTTCTCAGTGAATACGAGAACCTCGGCCACATGACCAAAATTCCGTCGACCGACTCTATCGAGTCACCATTTCGCTATTATATACCGCACCATGCCATCCTACGCGACAGTAGTGCAACCACCCGCTTACGCGTTGTATTCAACGCATCGTGTCGAACCACCAACGGTACATCGTTAAACGACCACATGATGATAGGCCCGAAGCTTCAAAAGGACTTAGCTACCATTATCATGCAGTGGCGTCAACACCGGTATGTTTATACCGCCGATATCGCCAAGATGTATCGGCAAATTCGCGTTGATTCTCGCGATACTAATTATCAACGCATCCTTTGGCGCCCTTCTACCAGTGAACCCGTCAACGATTACCGTCTCGAAACCGTCACGTATGGCACAGCTGCCGCTCCATATCTCGCTCTCCGCGTTTTAGAGCAACTCGCCAACGACGACGGTGCTCATTTTCCGTTAGCAGTTCCCGTTTTGCGTCATCACACTTATGTGGATGATTGTGCTTTCGGTGCCGACGATAAAATCCTCGCGCGTCAAACTCGCGATCAATTAATTCAGCTCCTCAACAAAGGATGTTTTCGCCTTAGGAAGTGGGCAAGCAATTCCGAAGAACTCTTGTCCGATATCGATCCCGCCGATCACGGACTAGCCACTAATAAGGTTCTTCAGGGAGACAAGCATCTCAAAGTCTTAGGGATCATTTGGAACCCGACCCATGACATCTTCCAATTTCGCGTGTCTATCCCGTCTTCGCCCGGTAGAACGAAACGAGCGATCCTGTCACTTATCGCCAAGTTTTTCGATCCTCTTGGCTGGGCGACACCGGTTATTATTACAGCAAAGATATTTTTGCAATGTTTGTGGTCGCTCAAGTGCTCATGGGATGATGAAATTCCTAGTCAACATTACGACAATTGGCTGAAATATTACAATCGGCTTTCGTGTCTCGATGCAATTAGAATTCCCCGCTGGGTGGCATATGGCTCTCACACCATTCACAGCGCTCTTCATGGCTTTTCCGATGCTTCGACCTCTGCGTTTGCCGCCGCCGTGTATCTTCGTACCGTTCAGATCGATGGATCAATTACCGTCTCGCTTTTGATCGCCAAGTCTAAAGTAGCACCACTTAAAACCATGAGCATACCTAGACTCGAATTATCGGCTGCTCATCTTCTCGCTCGCTTAATGCATTTTTCTCGTTTAGCTCTCCAACTGCCGACTATCGAATGTCACTGTTGGACCGATTCAACCGTTACGCTCGCATGGTTGAACCAATCACCCTCTCGATGGAAAACCTTCGTCGCCAATCGGGTCTCCGCGATCCATTCCCTTCTTCCCGATGTCCCGTGGCGGCATGTACCGACACAAACAAATCCCGCGGACTGCGCCTCTCGCGGTCTCGCTCCTGATGCCCTAGAAAAGCACAACCTTTGGTGGTCCGGCCCGTTGTGGCTGCGCCAACCACCCGACGGTTGGCCGAATGCAAATCCTTCCGTATCGCCGGACGCTCCTCTCGAGGAACGCCCTCAGCCATCCGTACCCGTCTTCCACTCCGCACCGAACTGGGACCTTGCGTCTCGATTCTCCTCGTGGCCGAAGCTACTCCGTGTTACCGCATACCTTTATCGTTTTTTGTCTCGCCAGAAACGTTCCGATTCCTTTAGCTCCGCAAGCCTACAACCCGACGAGATTGACAAGGCTAAATTTTACTGGCTAAGGTCCATTCAGGCAGATATGTTTCCGCTCGAGCTTGCGGCCTTGTCCCGTCAAAGTCCGCTGCCGAAAAGCAGCTCCTTATCTTCTCTCAATCCGTACCTGGATTCCGACGGTCTTCTCCGCGTAGGAGGACGACTTCGTCACGCACGTCTCCCAGGGGCGACAAAAAACCCGATCGTAGTCCGCTCACATCCGCTCTTGTCGCTCATAATCGAGCACCATCATATGAGAACGCTGCACGCCGGCCCACAACTCACACTCGCATCGCTACGGAGTGAGTTTTGGCTCCTTCGTTCCCGCGCTACCGTACGTTCCGTGCTTTATAAATGCATTAAATGCACCCGTGAACGAGCTGAAGTACCAGTCGAACTTATGGGCGATCTACCGGATGTAAGAGTTAACCGCACATCCCGCGCATTCGTTCACACCGGCGTTGATTATGCAGGACCTATCGTCGTCCGTACCGCTCCCGGCCGAGGTCATAAATCGCAGAAGGCATACATCGCGCTTTTCGTATGCCTCACGACCAAGGCTATTCACCTTGAACTTGTTACCGATTACAGTTCTATTACGTTTATCGCCGTGTACCAGCGCTTTGTTTCTCGGCGAGGACTACCGCAGTCCATGTACTCGGATAATGGAACAACATTCAAAGGTGCCGATCGTGAATTATCCCAAGCGCATGCAAAGGCAATTCGCGATCCAAATTTTTTAAATTGTCTCGCGACCGACAAGACGGCGTGGCATTTTTTACCTCCCGCCGCACCGCATTTCGGCGGCTTGTGGGAAGCTGGCGTGCGCAGCATGAAGCATCACCTCAAGCGATGTATCGGTCTTTATACGCTAACTCTTGAAGAGATGACCACGCTTCTCTGTCGCGTCGAAGCATGCCTTAATTCGCGCCCTCTTGCCGCTATTTCCGACAGTCTCGATGATTACCGAGCGCTAACCCCGGGACATTTTTTGACCGGATCCCCGCTTATCGCCATCCCCGAGCCTAGCGTGCTCGATCTGAACGAAAATAGGCTTTCCCGCTGGCAGACGATCCAGCGCCTAACCGAAATTTTTTGGAGGTCTTGGTCAAGTGATTATTTGCAGACCCTTCAACAACGCCCAAAATGGCGCGTTGTCGTACGATTGGCCAAAGTTGGTCAGATCGTTCTCGTGCGCAATCCGTTGACTCCGCCGAGCCACTGGGAACTCGGCCGCATTACTGCCTGTCATCCCGGTGACGACGGCTTGACCCGAGTTGTAACCGTTCAAACCAGCCGGTCAGAATATCGGCGACCCATCGCAAAATTGTGTTTCCTTCCCGTGGATATCAATACCGAAGAAGCAAAAGGATCTGTCACGGCGGGCGGAGTCTCGACCTAATACATCATACTTTGTAATCTCGCGTACCAATTGTAATTTCGCCTTCATTTATTGTACTCGTTTGACATCATGTATCATCGACATCTACAATGTAAATTATTTCGAATGCATCACATTCGAGGCGGGCGGTATGTTCCGGATTCCGCGCCGCAACCATTATCCGCGTTTTGTACGTTGCCCGTGGTGCGCACATCTGGAGCGACGAAGTCACGCGTGTACCGCGTGACCTCCCCGTGTGAGCCTCGCGCTTACGGACGCGCCGGATGTCACGCCACCTCCATGTGTTGTTTTTTTCAAAACCTAAAATCCTTGCGCATCACATTTTTTAGCGCGATTGGAGAGTTCGCCACCAGATCCCGATGCGTACGGATCTATAGATTTTGTCTACCGCTTTCGTTTCGCGAACTCCACGATCTCGCTACTCGGTTACAGTCTAACCGAATTTGCGTTCCTGTAACGCCTGTTACCTTTGATCGGCGTCCTCAAGATTTCCGTCTCGTAAACGCTCATACCACCGAGCGCTCTGCGGTCTCTGCATGGTCGCATATAAGAGTTTTCGATACTCCCAGCGGCTTGTAATTCCGCGTGTGATAACATAAGTCTCAGCTATACCGCTCACCTCGTTTTAACGATATTGTGCAGTTAATTAATAAATGTCTGAACCAACGTAATTGCTGAATTCGTTTATTGGAGAATCACCCGCCTTGGAGAGCGAACCTTCCAATTTAAGGTGGTACCAGCCTACCCAATCCGCAAACAATGTGCGTTTACCATATCTAGGGCCCAGACGATCACTCTTGCCGAGAGACCTTGACACTTGAAGAATATTTTTTTTGGAATTGTCTTTGGCATCACCACTGTCACCCGTACTCCAAGTTTCTTTTCAAATTAGCAGAAAGAATAAGCGAAGCTGCCTGTTAAAATTGCTATCACACCTCTATGTTTTTGCTCGTCCGACAACTGCAGCAAAGTGTAAACCACACCGCGATCTTTGACGCTGTTTGCTAATTGTTCAAATTTTTTCTTCAGGTATATGGTAACTATCTTTACTGAATAACGAGCTCTGAAACAATCATATTAAAATAGATTAAAGTTTGCCAATGATTCTTTATAAATATTTTGCCTTACATTGCGTGGATTATTGTCAGATGTATAATTTGCGTGAAACACGGACAATTATTACACTTTAAGTAAATTCAAATAAAACAAAGAAGATTATAACTTAGCATTATAACTCTTTGTCAGAATGACACGCAAAATTGATTCACATTTTAGTATTACTTATTCCGCAATTTGAATATATTTAAAAAAATTAAATGGATTTTTTTATTTTTATTTCATAACACGTGAAACTTATTTTAATTTGCGCTAAATTTTTTTTCAATTATTGTTAATATGTAAAATTGGAAGATATATGTTCTTCTTGTTACATTTAGATCTTGTGATCTACAAGTCTCGAATGTATGGAGCTATGCGAATTAGCTATTATAATATTCGTATGCCTCGTTAGTTTTTCAAAAATTAACTAAAAGTATAAAGTCAAAATAAATAAATTAAGAAAGTCTTATGGTATTTACCTATTACTTTACTGCACGTGGTCTTCCGAATGTGTTCTTTTATAGATCTGAAGGTGTATGGATCTGATTTTTCTGGCCAATAACTCGTATCATTCTTTCCAAGGCTTCAATTTCTAAGATCCCTTTTCAAAGACGGTCTACGAAATAAAACACTACATTGTAGCATTGGCAAATTAATATACATTTTTTTATATTTCACTGAGTGTACGTGATGTACCGCATATCGCGAATATTATACATTCGATATTTATTGGATTAACATATAATTGGAGAAAAAGCTATTTTCCTGTATACATTTCTATAAACTATTTTCTAATTACGATAATATTGACACGGACGCATCGGTGTACATTGCATGCATGAATATTTGAGAACTAAAATTATTATTAATCAAATCTGACTTTACCCATTGGATATCTGGATTTGTAGACGTCGTAACATTGAAAGTTACACTACATTATAAGAAAATGGCAAAGAATTCTGTTCCGCTGCTCCTTTTTCCATTCTTGTTATTTTTTGACAGTGCAAGAAGATGTCCAAATAAAAAGTTCTTTTTATACGGTGAGAATCAATTGACACGCAGTTGTAGGTGATCAGTGAAGAAGAATCGCAAGCCTGATTTAGTTTCGGTCACAGATTGATCTCGTTACCGCAAAGATTCGACGATATTCGTCATCAGTACAATAACCCACTTCGTCCTTTCCGAACTTTTCGTTTGATTTTTCTGCGGTTACTGTATTATGTTTATAAATTTTGCAACCAAGCTAATTTGATTTTATAAATAACGACAGCGATATAGGAATAGATCAGTAATATAAAAAACAAATGTTAATAAACATATTAATGTATTAATTTCAGTATTTGTTCCATAGTTTACATAAATACTGTTTAAAAAACTTTTAATTAACCTTTAAACCACTATATCGGTCTCACAGACTGCTATTGAAACGTTACTTGTCAACCATTTTCTTATTTGTCACCATTTAAATATATTTTATTTCTATTGTATACGACATTTTTTTGTTAACCCTCACATTAAAACATAGTTTTCTTTTTCCCCATCACAATAAATATTCAGAAAACATACATTTTTATTATACATAACTTATAAAATTAGTGAGAGCATAATAGCGGTCTGTCAGACCGACATTGTGGTTAGTGTAATTTTTTTGGGATGTAATGGTTTAAAGATTAATAATTTTGTTTTTAATTCTTACTTGCCGACAGAATTTTACAAAAGTTAATATCTGTTCAATTAATTACTTTATTATTTTGTTCATTTTTGTTTGTTTGTTTTTCAAATATAATTTAGTTTAATTTTACTTTAATTTATGTCATATTATTCTGTTTAGAAACGACTATATTAATGTTTTGTAACTGTCAAACTCTGATTCTCGGATATATATTTTTTGGATTCATAATATATTATATTTATTTAAATTGAAAAAACGCCAGTCAATCGAATTCCACCAAATCAAATTTCATTTTAAATTATTTGAAAGTATTATGAACCGTCTTATAATAAAAATTTAATTATATTTCCATCTAGACTTTGATTCTTATGTATGTTATATCTGTTTATATCCCATTTTTTAGACAAGGATTAATATTAATTGCAAATAATATTTTAGTTAAAAGCAAATTATCAACTTTTCTATATAATATTAAAATCTTTATAATACTCGGTTAAATTTTGTAACATCTCTAATTTATGTTATACATTTTAAAAAAGATATAATAATTTGAGGTCATGAAAATTACAAGCATTATAGAAGATATGTGCGTGTGTGTGTGTATAGCCTCCCCCATATTAACAAGTTTCTTCGTCGAAAAAATTAGCATTGACGAATGAAAATTAATAGCATAATTTTTGTATGTGCGTACAACTTTTTAATTTCTTAATAAGACACACATGTTATATAGTAATACATTTCACTATCAATTGTACAATTGTAAAAATGTAAAAAATACCTATCATTTTGATTTTAAAAAATCATATCTAACAAATTATAAAATAATCAATGATATAACTGATTATATCATCAGTTATGGCTTTATAAAACCTGCACATAAATTTGAAAATTTAATTAATATAATATTAATATTGTTATTCTCAACAATATTATTAGTAGAGTATATCTGTGTCAAAAATATTTTGTGTTATGTATCATGTATATCAGATAAAAAATAAATTCTCTTATAGATATATAGATATCTGCCGCTTATAAGCGATATAATTAAAGATTTACATTACTATGCGTTTTTATAAAAATACGAGTATAACTAAAATAAGTATAGAAATGTTAATAAAATTATTTCCATATCGAGTGTTTGTTTAAAAAACATCGTCGATGAAACTTTTAATTTTGACCAAATTTTTTCTTTTGAGTTTTACGATTTATTCCGTATGACATATTTTGCAGATTACTTCCCAGTAAAGCAAGAAACATTAAATTAACATTTAAAAATATTGTTTTTATATTTTATTATTCTTATATAACATTTTATAAATGTTGCAGTGATATAATATTATAATCATTAGTGTAACATCATTTGCAACAATATTTCACTTTCATATCAATATTATTGAAATTTCTAGATATGCGTCTCACTTTGTTCACAATAATGACGTTATGTAAAATATTAAGAACTATTGAAATAATATTTTATTGAAATGATATTTTTGTTTACTGGATTAGATGCTTAAGATAAGTATGCACGATTTTAATGATTTGCTTTTTCTATGACTTGTCAACAATCTATTCAAAAATAGAAAAAGGCTCATTCTAAATGATCTGATGAGAGGTCGGAACAAGGATCCAAACTTAACTGACTTGTAAGATCTGATAAGAAGCTGGCACGAGGTTCCAAATCTGATTGATTCGTGAGATCTGATGAGGAGCCAGCACGAGGCTTCGAACTTAATTGATTTGTAATATCTGATGGGGAGCCAGTACAAAGCTCCAAACTTGATTGATTAGTGAGATCTCATGAGGAGCTGACACGAGACTCTAAATCTGATTGATTCATAAGATCTGATAAGGAGCCGATACGAGGCTCCAAATTTGATTGATTCATGAGATCTGATAAGGAGCCGGCACGAGGCGCTAAACTTGATTGATTTGTGAGTTCCTTAGATGAATCCATTTTTCCAAATTCACATATTACCATTCTAGCGAGCATAAAAAGAATTATATAATGTTACCGAATAACAAAACAATAATAATATAAACACTAAATTACATTTCTTAATAGAAATCAGCTACTAAATGACTTATTTTATCATAAAAAACGTAAAACGCAATATAAAAGTAACAAATTTTAAAGGAGACTTGAATTTTAAAAAAAGTACCTTTTTTCCTTAAGAGAGTTAGAAAGTTCACTAGATAAAATCGCAGCTACCCCAAATGCTATATTAAAGTC